ACAAATTAATCTTGATAATGTCAGATAATACTTAAGCAAAACATGGTCAGGTCAAAGTGTCTGAATTTTGGTCCCAAATTTTTATAAATTTTACTGGTAGTCCACTCTATGAATAATGTTTGGGTATAATATGTCACAGTTTACTTTATTTTGCTATCCTCACTTACTTAAATGAACTATAGTGTCCTGCACCCACTAGTAAAAAAAATATCAAAAATGATATCTGGTGTCTGAATACGTTTTGGTTTGACTGTATTATATTATATTATATTATATTAGTAAGGAATAATTAACGATGTTGAATTATTAGAAAATACTAATGCCGAAATAAAATAAGTGGAAATAATGCAATAATACCTCGGGTGTGCATTATTTTCTAATAATTTAACAGACCGGAGTCAGGTATTCCACTTATACTATGGTTACCACACCTCAAAAATAGTTCAGATGTTGTATTTCAAGACATTCATCAGGTTTTTGCCCTTAAAACGCTCGTGTGTAGGATTAATTTCTAACTCGTGTCATCCCACGCCTCCATTTGTAATTCCAAAACGCCATTTTAGACCCAGTAATTGAGGCTTGAGCCGTTGATAGCAGAATAATTCAGTTATCAATGCAATTATGAGAGAGAAAGAGAGAGAGAGATTAAAAGTATGTGAATTACCTGAGTCTGTGCGTCTCTCAACAGAGTTCGGCAGCAGAGTCTCAAGTAATAGCGAAACTGTAAGTTCATCTGATTCAAGAACAGCGCCGTATTACCTCGCTTGTGAGAAATGACATGTAGCTTTTAAGTTGTTAAACTGTTTTACTGAAAAAAATCATCAGAGCAGCGCTGACAACAGGTTTCTGTGTGTGTGTACATTTCTGTGTGTGCGGGTATGTGTCTGTACTGTACAGAATGTGTGTGCGTTTGTAAAGGAGAGGGTGGAAAAAATAGAGTGCTTTCCATACATCATAAAAAATTATTTTGTTGCAAAAATATGGAAATAATTTATATTTTTTATTTTATTTTATTTTTCCAGTAACAAAAAGCATCACAAGACTTTCACACATTAAATATTATGTTTTATAATACATAATGCATACAATAAAATGTACATTTGGATGTAGTCACAGTTTCCACAAAAATATTAAGCTACAAAAACTGTTTTCAACATTGATAATAATAACAAATGTTTCTTGAAATTGAATAATTTCTGAAAATTCAGCTTTGTCATAAGAATAAATAGCATTTTGAAATATATTTAAATACAAAACAGTTCTTTATTGTAATATATTGTAAATTGTAATAATATTTCACAATATTAATGTTTTACTGTATTTTAATCAAATAAATGAAGCCTTGGTGAGCAGAAGAGACCTCTTTCAAATGCATATAGAAAAAAATAAAAAAATTATATTAGGTCTGTCATAAACTCTGCAGCTTATTCTGCCCACTTACACATGTAGTCAGGGCCGTTTTAACCATTGGGCTAGGCGGGGCTGAAGCCCCGGGGCCCGAGCAAGGAGGGGGCCTGTGATTGGCTGTGGAGTAGATTGACTGGAGCACCGATCGCCAAAAAGCCACCACGCCCCCCACTTATTAGCGCTGTTATTTAGTTGAGCTTTCCCGTAAATTCCATGCGTTACCATTTGAGATTGAAACGTAAAGTTTGAATTTGGTTTACCAATCAAATGCATTTATTCTATATTTGATTTTGATATGCGCATGTATCTATCAGGTGATTGCTGCCCACCAGTATGTCTGCATTCACCTCTCTTCACTTTGTTCTGGAGTATTCTGGAAATGGTCGCGCAAAGAACAACACTCAATAAGTAAAAATGTCAGCAATTCTAAAAAAGAGAGGGGCTCAAAAAATGAAAAACTTCAAATACAACATAAAAAACACGACTTAGTAAATTCCCCAGCTATCAGGTTATTTGACTAAAGCTGATGATGGAGTGGAAGTTGCTGGAACAGCAAGTGAACCGGGCACATGGAGCAGATAAAAACAGTGTCATCGTCCACACAGATTTTAGATTAGTTTGATTATTAACTGGATTTATATTGTTTTTGTGTTTGAACAAACTATATTCATTGAAGGGTTGGGAGATAATTCGATAGAAATATATCAATCGTTGATTGAAGCGCGTCATGATGTAGTCTAAGCTTATCATTTCAAGGCGTTTTAAGCAGGTTTTAAAACAAATGGTTTATACTGTTCATGGACATTAAGCTGCAGGGCAGAATTCATTCTGGTAAATGCGTGCGTTAAAACAGTTTCTACCTGATACACCTGCTCGTGTTACTGACTAAACTTTCGCTCCTTGTGCTTAAACGGTCAAATACACATAGTTATGTGTCAAAATGCCCGTCTTTGCGAGTATCCTCGTAAACACAGTTATTTGTGTCTTAAATGAATGTTAATAGTTACAGATAAAGCATGTGTTAGGCTATATGAGATCCTATATGATCAGATATATGATGAGATCTTAAAAGGATATTCACCCAAAAATGAAGATACTGTCATCATATACTTACCCTCAAATTGTTCTGAACCTCTATGAATTTCCTTTTCCTCCTCAACATAAAAGAAGATATTTTGAAGAATGATCGTAACCAGTTTCTGGACCCAACTGATTCCAATAGTGTTTTTTTTCATATATGGAAGTAGTGAGGTCCCAGCAACTGTTTGTTTACCAATATTGTTCCAAATATATTCGTTTGTGTTCAACAGCATGAAGGAATCTCATACAGGTGTAGAACATCAACAGAATTTTTGGGTGAACTATAATGCAGCCTAATATAGCTGCTGTTACCATTTGTGTCAATAATGTAAATCAAACATCAGAAAGAAAATAACTTACTGTCCGGGGGCCCTGCAGTAAGTCATAGCCCCGGGGCCCAGTGCGGTCTTAATGCGGCCCTGCATGTAGTGGTGGGCAGAATAAGCTGCAGAGTTTATGCCAGAAGTCAAAAGTACTAGACTCTCTGAGTTTACTGTATCAATATCATTAATGTGATATTCTCTTGATTAATTCTGCTAGTTGTTTTGATATGAGAGTTCACACAAGACTAGATTTTAGAGCTGAATGAATCTGCTATTATCCATAAACTCTCTATAACATCCTCTGCATTTTCATCTCCAGTCAGTAAAGTCTTAATTGGGAGGCGCAATTTTGCTCATGTTATTGTCTCACAGTATTATCAGGCTGTGTGTTCATATAAATGCGAATATTATTATGGCTGTGGATTTATTTCTTTGTTTTATGTGCATAACAAGGTTGCATTATGCAGACTCAAAGTGAATTTCATAACGCCATGTGTCGGTCCGCTGGGAGAGTAACTCCTGGTGGGCTTGGATTGTGTTTCTTTCACCCACACCTAGTTTGAATGAATTAATTAGCTGTATCATTCTCTCGTTAAGATCTGATTAGGATTAAACGGTTGGAATGATATTATTTGTGCTCCTCTTCACTGTAATTGTATATGACATAGGAAATACACAGGAAATTGTGTTTGCTTGTAAAATGTAATTGTACAAATCAGAAAGGGGAGAGTGGGAACTTCATTTGGAAGCTCGGGGACAATTTTGCAGCCCTGCAATTCAGTTGATTTTAGAGGTTAACTTTGTTGAAATGATTGTTATGATTGTTATGAAGCAGAAAAACTATTTGGAAGTCTTTTCAAATTTAATTTTTACACATTACAAAAGTATCTGAGCACCCCTTTAGATTAATAGGTTTTGCTATTTTATCTTTACACATATAGTACTGCTGGTTTGTCTGAATGTGCAAATTCCTACATCCTTGTTCCAACATCTAGTGGAAAACCATTCCAGAAGAGTGGACATTTTTATCCAGTAGCAGTAGGGAGAACCAACTTCATATTAATACCCATGGTTTTGAAATGAAATGCTTAGCAAGCATGTTTGGATGCACATGATTCTGGTCTTGTACTCTATTTTGAACCCCAGCAGCTTGGTGCAATTCCACACATTGCTGGGTGGTCTCTAACATATCGGCCGCGTGTTTCTTCAGCCGTGGCCATCTTTAGTCATGTTAACGTTTAGAAAATAAATGTTCTTAGAACACACTTTTCACACTCTCTCTAATTTATTTAGGTTTATGTGTGATAATGTATCCTAAATACTCAATGTATAAATTTTTAAGTTCAATGTTATATTTTTACTTATACATGTATCTAATTGAAAACCAAGTGAAATAACTTTTGAATAAATCTTAGTAGTGCTGTGTGTGATGGAAATGATGTCAGTTTAATTTGTGTAAAAGTGTATAATACATTTTTTTGTGATCCAATAAATATTAACGTGCAAAATATTTGAAATAAAAGAGAAAAGAAAAACAAATTAATTGCAGTATGATGGTCAGGGTTTTTATAGTCAACTAAGAACTATAATGTAACGGAAAAGAAAAACTTTTTATTTGAAATAATGTTAACCGAAGTCAATTTAAATGTGTATATATATATATATATATATATATGTATATGGTTTGTTTTTTTGTTTTTTTTTTACTAATTTTTATTTAGCTAAACTTGAAGTATTCAAATAACTAAAACTAAATAAAATAAAACTCATAAATACAGATTAATAAAAACTATATAGATATATTTGAAAATGAATTAAAAATGTCACAGATACAACAAAAACTACAAAAAAAAGAGATACAATGGCACTAAAATAATACTATTTGAGATTATGGGAATTTTCATGTTTTAAGATTGAAAGTCTGGCTCTGAGAGGAGTAAAAAAATAATAATAAGATAAAATATAATATAAGATAAAAGTTAAAAAGTAAAAAGGAGGGGAAAAAAGGGGGTGATGAATAATGAAAATGATGAATACATGGTAAGATGTTCCCAAGCAAGAAGTTTTAAAAGATGTTTTAATATGACCTTCATATAGCAGTAATCTTGAAATCTTTCAAATCTAAAGCCGCCCCCTGGGAGCACTTCAAAACACCCACTGATGTTCCTTTCACATGCTTTTCTCCTCCAGGTTTTGAACTTTCTCATTGTGACGAACCCGGTGTGCCACAATTTGGATCCAAAGTCAGCGACCAAGGCCACTTTGCTGGCAGCGTGGTCACGTATCGCTGTGATCCTGGCTACAGTCTCCATGGCAGCAGCATATTGAGATGTATGACGGGCGAGAGACGGACGTGGGACCACCCGCTCCCCTCATGCATAGGTAATCCATTGCAACCCTTCACATGCAGCAGGATGAGACATCGGCCGCAGCCACTGGCATGTGCATCCTTAATCCTGAGCATTTATCCTTACATGGATTCCACTTAATTGCACATGCAGCTGTGTCCGTTGTGTGACTACAAATACCTCGCTTGTTTTTGTTGTGAATAATTGATCTACTAGAATCTGTCACGCGTCTTGCACTGGTGCTGGAACGACAGCTCTGTGTTTGATGTGTTTACAGCCTGATTTCAGTCCTTCTCCGTCTTACACATTTTACCCAATTAAACTTTGATCCCGATGCGTTGTGAAGATTGACGTAATTGTTGTTTTTGTTCACCTTGTATGGCTTCTTCATGTAAACACAAGACTGAATCTGAAGTGTGTAATTTTTTCTGATTTTGAGTACTTTCTTTTATCCCAGTTTAATATAGAGACCACTTTAAGCAAACCATGGTTATGCTTTATAGTAAGGTTCAGTTCATTGGCATTAGATGCATTAGGTATCATCGACTAACAATGTTTAAAGCGTTTTTCATAATAATATTATTTTGCAAACTTTTTATTTTACAAATGTTAATGTATTATGTTGCACACACATACACATACATATATATTAAAATAAAATAAAATACATGTATTAATTATATTAAAAAGTATTTAATTGTTAATTTCTTCGTGATTCAATATGTAGATTATAAATGCATTTTTTTTACTGTTAACATGCAAATCTTGTACAATATAGAAATTAGAAAGTAACAAGTAAACACACACACACACAACTGAATTAAATTTAAATGAAATTTATTTAAATACATTTATTTTTTATTTTTTTTTTAAATGAATTTTTAGTTTCTACATGATTCAAGATGTTGATTATAAATGCAAAGTAATTTCAGAGCTGCAGCAAGTAATTTTTAAATGGCAATGAAGATGAATTATGCAACAGGAATGTATATTAATGTAAATATGTTTCATTATTGATTTCTTGTTAATGTACAGTACATCATCTTAGTGTCGGTCATTTGAGAACTACAAAACATTTAGCTTAGCTATGCTAGCTTAGATGTTTACTAATTGCTTCATTGCTCAAATCCTGAGTTTAATGTGCTTATAAGAGCTTTTACTGTTAATGACTAGATAATCTTTTGCTCACGTAGCCTTGAGATTTATACAGTGCAAACTTGAAATACTCATGGGGAAAATGGTTTTTGAGTACATACTCATTTGGAGAGTGAATATTTATAATTGCCATGTTAAAAAGACCAGCATATGTTGTGTTTTGGATGCTGTTTGCTGCTTCCCAGAATGGGATGTTGTCCAGGATGGCAATTTGGCCACCAGCTGCATAATTATAGACAACTGAGATGCTCAAAGTTTTTAACCTGCTAATCGCATTAATTTACTACTTACAGCTTCTGCATGCTCCTCCACTAGTTTAACTAGCAAGGCATTAGCCAGTTAAAGCATATTGTTTGCTGTTTGTCTTGGGCACTTTCATAATCATTAAGCATGCCCTCAGTCAACATTATTTTATTCTTGTATAAATTCAAAATTTTCCAACATGCTGTTTTTATGACCCCAAATTAATTGCGAAACCACATGAGAGAAGTTGGAATTGCATTTTTATATACGAATTTTGACAAATAATTCAGAATTGCGAAATATAAGCTCAAGTCATAATTGTAAGAATTTCGAGAAAAAAGGCAGAATTATGAGATATAAGTCGCAATTAACGTTTTTTTTATCCTGTGGCGGAAATGGGCTTCTATAGTGACTTTGCTGGTCTACTAGCCAAACCGTCGCTAATCAGCAGCAGGGAATTGTCTTTAGTTTCTTTTTTTCTCTGTTTCCAAATCAGTCACTTATCAGTCCGTATCACTAAAGATGCTACCACAGCTACCTATGTAGTCAGCACAGGTAGATCACAATGTTTTCAGAACAAAGCCTCTGTCTCAAAACGCTTCAATCCCAGGCAAACTATAAAAGAACTTCACTTAAGTTAATTGGTCTCATAGAGTTGTCAATGTTTATGGTAGTCCAGCAAATACTTGCCTTTTGTATGATGAAATTGATGAAGAATAGAGCAGTCAGAATGAAATAGCCGTGCTCTTTGTAGATGGTATCCGGTGAGCAGATGCTGGAAGCTTGCCTCAAGGGTCTGCTTGCTCTTATGACAGCGCCTTGGGAATTTAGACATCAAAATGGTGCACATTGAGGCTGTGCTAAATATTTCATGCAAAAGCTAGCTGATAAATGCCTCACTTTATATAGCTATTTTCTCTTTTCACAAAACAGATCACGTGCAGTTATAAAGTGCAATATGCAATATTAATTTTGCTAAAGGTTCTGGGGTTTTTCCTCCAATACTAAATACTGTAGGTAGTTGTTGACTACACAGATCGCTTTCTGCTGTTATGTCAACCCTCATGTTCTGTTGAGATTTCTATCTTGATTTTTAGAGACTGCATGTTTGAAAATAACAGTAGTATTTCAGGCAAGCACAAGTTGATACCATGATTCCATGGTTTATGAGTGGTTGCCAGGGTATCTCTGTTGTTGCTGAGGTCTTCTGTTGCTTGACTGGTTGCTAGAGTGTGGCTAGGTGGTTGATGGGGTGTTCTGAGTTGCAAGGGTATGGCTGGGGGCTGCTAGGGTGTTCTGAGTTGCTTGAATGGTTGCTAGGGTGTGGCTAGGTGGTTGATGGGGTGTTCTGAGTTGCAAGGATATGGCTGGGGGTTGCTAGGGTGTTCTGAGTTGCTTGAATGGTTGCTAGGGTGTGGCTAGGTGGTTGATGGGGTGTTCTGAGTTTCAAGGATATGGCTTGGGGGTCGCTAGGGTCTTCTGAGTTGCTTGAATGGTTGCTAGGATGTGTGGCAAGGTGGTTGATTGGGTGTTCTGAGTTGCAAGGATATGGCTGGGGGTTGCTAGGGAGTTCTGAGTTGCTTGAATGGTTGCTAGGGTGTGGCTAGGTGGTTGATTGGGCGTTCTGAGTTGCAAGGATATGGCTGGGGGTTGCTAGGGAGTTCTGAGTTGCTTGAATGGTTGCTAGGGTGTGGCTAGGTGATTGATGAGGTGTTCTGAGTTGCTAGGAAATGGCTTGTTAGATAATTGTAAGAAAAATTTGTTTGTGCATTATTTTACTTTCATTATTCAGGCTTTATTGGCAATGCTGGTCTGTTAGTGACATAACCTGGTTATTGTTGTAGGTGGGTAGATGAGAAATAGCGCACGTTTTATTAACACACAATATCATATGCTCTCAGGAAAAGAAATGTTGTCACTGGGGCGGTACCCTTCCAAAAGGTACTAATATGCTCACTTTACCAAACTGTACTTTTCAGAGTACTAATATGTACCATTTATGGGTAAATAAGGTACAACAATGTAACTTTTATTTTCTGAGAGTGTAGAAACTTGAGGGTGGGCTTTTGGGACTTGGGGCATTTTAAGAAAAAATTGTTTGTGTATTTTTTAAGAGCATTAATATGAAGACATTATGCATATAAGAAAACTTATATTTTTAGGTGCTATTAACTGGTTTCATATTTTCACAGTTTATTTAAATAATCATGCAGAATCAAGAATCAAGAATTGCAAAAAAGATTGACTGTTTTCAAACAGGTTTCCCAAACTCTCCACCCACTCTGCCGTGCCCCAAACTCACATGATTGGTTGATTCAAAGTGTTGCTCTACGTTTGTGGTGCTCACGCAAAAAGACCAATGTTTTGATATCCCCACAGAATCACTGTTTACACTTTTCAGGTGAATCAACCTACGAAATGGTTTACTTCGTTGTCTCTGCAAATTGAACTTGAATATGTGAAAGTATTTAAAAAAGAGAGACAAACTCCAGCTCTAAGGAGGCCACTGAAATGATATCAGACATCATAATCTCCAGGGGCTGGCTTTCTATTTCTTGATTGCCTATCTGAGCCGTCTCTGCGTTCATTATATGACCATTGTAATATCAGTAGTTTCTTTGTCACAAGGAAGCCTGTTTGCTCATGAGATGAGTGTTGCTCCGGCTGATCCATAATGTGCTACAGAAACAAGTGCTTTAATGATCAATGTAGTGCAGATATTGTGTCTGAGACCACTGTAATGAATATGATAATACTTCCTTTTTTTGTGATATATGCAGTGGTCCACAGCTTTTCATGCAAGACCGAGCTCATAAATAACGTGGACAGAGAGATTTAACATTTAATTAATGACATGCACAAGCAACGTAGCTAAAAGCGGTGTCTCGTGCATGCATAATTACGGCCCATTGTTGTATGGCCACTTCGGGATGGTGAGGGGGCGGCGTGGTCGTGTCAGATCCAGCAACAGAGATACCAGTGGGCCGAGTCTCTGCAGAGCTCATCATTAACAACAGAAAGAAAGCTCTGACTAAATACATCATCTTCGTGGGTGGGAGTTGACAGCGCAATAACTTCTTGTTTTGATCTATTGTAGCGGAGTGTGGGGGAAGTTTTAAAGGTGAGTCATCCGGACGGATACTCTCTCCTGGATACCCATTTCCATATGACAACAACCTCCGTTGCACATGGACCATCGAGGTGGACTCCGGAAACACTGTCAGGTGACTGATTATTAAGGTGGAAACGCAGCTCATTAAGTCACTGGTGAGAGAGATTAATTCATATTTTAGCCTGACGCATTAGTGCCTTAGTGTCAGTGCAGAAAGCCATAATGGGTATTTAGAGAGCTGGTTAAAGACATTCATTGAAATTGCATAGGAGAGAGTCAAGTTTATTAATTTTAAACAGATTGCATTGACCCTGACTTCAAGTGAAGTTTATCTACCTCTACATGTTGGAAAATCTCATCTTATTTCGTTATGATTGAGGTCTTTGACCTGTTTACGGTGCTGCATGAGGGACACACTTACTAAGTAAATAAATTATTGAAAGTCTCCTTGAAATCATTATTGGTAACTATTTACAATAAGGTTCCATTACTTAATGTTAGTTAATGCATTAACTTAACATTAGTTAATACTAGAGCCCGACCGATATGGGTTTTTAGGGGCCGATACCGATATTAGGGAGTAAAAAAAAGCCGATATCGATATACCGGCCGATATTCTTTGTGTATATTATAGTACAGTACCAATCAAAAGTTTGGACACTTTTTTGTTTGACTGTTACTATATATAGAATACAGTATATACATAAACAGAATATACTGTATATACATAAACACATTTTTTCAATGATCACTCAAATGTGGTGATCAAACACTTAATGCGTAATGGAGGCAGGGCCTTTAACAAATTAACAATGAACTGTATTATCCAAAATTAGTCTGACATCAGTGCACTGAACAGTAAAGTTGAAGTTTATTCAACTTTAATTCAATTAAATTCCATTCAATATTCCTTTGAAGTTTATTTCACTTCGGAACATTCATTCACGGATTTGCGCTACTGTCTTCACACACAGACGAACCTTACTAGAGAAGTGTGACATAATATACCTCTGTAAATAAATATTTACATTCGCCGTGCCGTTATGGAGATATGGTCGTTCAAAATTTCAATGGTTTTCCATAGACTTAAGCTTTAAAGTGTTTCATCCAGGTCGCCAGTAGCAAACAATGGAGCGCGCTCTGCTGGACAAACTAAGTAATTACACCATTTCAAGCATTTTATCTGCGTTATATGTTCTGTAAAAAAATTTCATATCGGCGGCATATCGGCCAATAATATCGGCAAAACTATATATCGGTCGGGCTCTAGTTAATACGTTAGTAAATACAAATACAACTGTTAGTTGTTAGGTCATGTAAACTCAGGTCCAGTAAAGTGTGTAATATTTTGCCATACTAGCAACAACAAATCAGCAGAATAATAAAATTTTTCAAACAGTCATTTGAGTTCCTTTTATGGTACTTTTATGATGGTTTTTTTTCAGTTTTGTAGACGGCATCAGAAATGTTGCCTCGACAACTAAATAAAATGTAAAGTTTAATTTGAAGTTCTAAAATTACTAAAAATAAAATAAATACAAATAAATTAATCCTAAATATAAATATCAAAAATGAATAAAAAATGCAAAAACTCATAACAGAATTACTAAAACTTGAAACTGAAACTGAAAATAAAATAAAAATGAAGCTATTTCAACATATTAATAAATACTAAAATAGAAATATTATTTAATTAAAATATGAAGAAACACTTGGAATATATTTCTTATTAAATTATTTGTTGATTTGGTGATGTTAGTATAGCCAAAAATTACACCGTTTACCTTTAACAGATACAACTTGTGAATTTTATCATGTATTTATGTGCTTTAGAAGTATTTTCTTAGCAGAGGTGGACAGTAGTGAAGTATTTTTACTTTACTCAAGTAAATTGAAAAAGTATCTGTACTTTATCAGAGTGGTTTTCTTTATAAAACTTTTACTTCATTACATTCCAAACCATAATGTCATACTTTTTACTGCACTACATTTCATAAATAATTTTTTTTTAACCTTTAATACTTAAGAAAATGTAGTGCTTTCTTGTACTCAAGTAAAACTTTGAATTACGTTTAAAAGTAAGAAATTACTAGATTTCTAATGTAATTACGTATTAAATGATATTTAATATGCAACGTAGTGCAGTAAAAAAAGTACAATATTATGCTTTGGAATGTTCTGAAGTAAAAGTGTTCTAAATAAAAACACAACTTACAGACACTTGAAAAGTACTTTTACAGCAGAGTAAAAATACTTCACTACTGTCTGCCTCTGTTTTATAGTTAGTTCATGTTAAAGGGATAGTTCACCCAAGAATGAAAATGATGAATTTCTTTCTTCTGTTGAACATAAAATAATATATTTTAAAGAATGTTGGTAACCAAACAGTTGCTGGTCCCCACTGACCTTCATAGTATGGGGAAAAATAAATAAATAAATTGTATGGAAGTCAATTGAGACCAGTTTGGTTACCAAATTGATTTTATGTTCAACAGAAGAAATAAACTCATACAGGTTTGTAACAACTTGAGGGTGAGTAAATGATGGCAGAATTTTCATTTTTGGGTGAACTATCCCTTTAACAAATGTTAAGCAACGGAATCTTATTATGTCGTGTTACCTAATTATTTATTTGATTAGATTAAGTGTGGGGATTTCAATCTATGTAAGTGAGTGTGAATCAGGCTTTATTATTATATTATTTTTTTAGTCTGCAGTTCTTGGCATTTGACACGGAGGCATCACATGATATCCTGAAGGTTTGGGACGGGCATCCGGAAAACGAGATGGCCCTGAAGGAAGTGAGTGGGTCACTGTTACCCGACGGCGTTCACAGCACTCTTAACGTGGTCACCATCCAGTTTGAGACGGACTTCTACATTAGCAAATCTGGATTTGCCATTGATTTCTCAAGTAAGTACTTTTCTTTAAAACCAAGTTTCACAGTACACAGTTCTAGTATCAAGTTAAAAAAAAGTTCAGCCTAATGAAGCCTTAACGGTGATAAACAGTGAAACATTTTTAGTAGGGGTGCATAGCATGACTAAAATTTTATATCATGTTCTAAACTATTAATTTTATACTGGTGTGTCATGATTATAGTCGCATGTGATTGATTCATCTTTTATCAATCATTCCAAACCCTTAATTTCAATGAATCGATTCAAAACTTTGATTTGATTTGTTTTCACTGGTTTTCATATGTAAAAATTGTTTAATAGTTTAAAATAGTTTAAAGGGGTCATATGATGCGATTTCAAGTTTTCCTTTCTCTTTGGAGTGTTACAAGCTCTTGGTGCATAAAGAAGATCTGTAAAGTTGCAAAGACTAAAGTCTCAAATCCAAAGAGATATTCTTTATAAAAGTTGAGTCAGCCACGCCTTCCTAAAACGTCTCGTTCTAACACATACCTACGTCACGATGTGGAAATATTAGCATAATGCCGCCCAAATGTGCACACAAAGAAAGAAGGCGTGGTTTCAGGAACAGCAGTAGTGTTGATGCAGTCATGTCAGGGAGACGCTGTGTGTTTCAGTGCGAAAGCAAAAGCACTTTATTTGGTCTTCCGGAAGTATAAGCAATTAGGAATCATTGGTTAAGATTTATTTACAACAGAACAGCACAGCCCAGATGTTCGAATTTGTGCAACGCATTTTATGGACGACAGTTTTTTGAACCTAGAAGAGTACAAGGCTGGCTGTGCACAAAGGCTATTTCTTGTGTCTGTCACGCGACTCTGTTGCCCTTTCGGGCTTGAACTGATGGTAAAACTAACGACATTATTAACTGTCTTGATATTTACTTTGAAAGCTTGAAGCTCGCGATTATGATAAGGGGCGTTACATTTCCGACACGTGCTTGTGGTGTTCAGCCAATCACAATGCACTGGTTCAGCTGGCCAATCAGAGCAGACTGCACTTGTCACAGGAGGGGGCTTTGTTGAAAACGAAGCGTTTAAGAGAGGCGGGGCATAGATGACCTACAATAATGTACAGTATTTGAAAAATAATGTGTTTTTTGAACATTAAAGCATGTCAACATATTCTGTTACACCAAATACACAAAATAATGATCTTGTAATATATGACCCCTTTAAATTAAAATAACATAGTGTATGAACATAAATGTGTGAGGTTATATTGGTGCATATGAATAAAAATAATTAATTATACCATTTAAGAAAATTTGGGGTGGAGTTAGATTTTTTTTATGTGTTTGAAAGAAGTCTCTTATGCTGACTATGGTTGCATTTATTTGATCAAAAATACATGTAATTTATTCCTGTGATCAAAGCTGAATTGTCAGCATCATTACTCCAGTCTTCAGTATCACATGATCCTTCAGAAATATGCTGATTTGCTGCTCAAGAAATGTTTCTTTTTATTATCACTCTTGAGAACAGTATCATCATACATACATTTACTGTCACTTTTGATTAAATTAATGCATCCTTGCTGAATGAAATAATTAATTTCTGTCAAAATAGAAACACTCCCAAACTTTTGAATGGTAGTGTATGTTCCTTAAGTTAATTTAGTTAAAAAAAAAAAACGGTGTAGCAAACATGCATGGATTGTTTTTATTACATTTTACTTTTTGCATAAAACACTTTGAATTGAATTGCCTAAAAAGGAAGCTTGGCCAAAATAATGGTTCCTCTGCTTGAAGAAAGTAAAAGCCTTTTCAAAGTAAGGTCATAAAGAGACTAAAAAACCATGCATCCATTAGCGAGTGATTTTGTAGTCAAGCAGGACAGCTGTACTGTTGCTCAGACTTATTCCACACCTGTATTAGACAGTGTTCTGCTCAGCAGAGCCCCCAGTGAGCCATTGTTTGCTACCAAGGCCACACAACCTCATTTCCGAGCGGGAAATGCTAGTGATAACTCCTGATAAGTTAAAGTGAGCACAGCTGGTCTCCGTTCCCATTTTGCAGGTTCAGTGGCGACCGCCTGCAGGGACCCGGGAACGCCCATGAACGGTAGTCGCAGCGGAGAGGGCAAAGAGCCCGGCGACACGGTGACCTTCGCGTGTGATCCGGGCTACGACCTGCAAGGAGAGCCCAGGATCACCTGCATTCAGGTGGACAACAGATTCTTCTGGCAGCCCAGTCCTCCTACATGTATCGGTGAGATTTATTCAAGTTGCAGCGATGCTGCCTGAGGCCTGTGAAATATAGGCGGCCTCTCATTTCACACTTGTCAGCTCTGACGAAATGTCTAAAATAACTAGCAGAAATGACTTGAATCACCCTTTATAAAAGGCCTGAAATAATAAATCTCTTTGATGGAAATGTCTGATCACAGCGCTCAAACTTCTGGGTTGTGGGAAACTGGGGTGAAGACTTCCCATAAAAATTTCTTCTAGGAAACTGCATTTATTTTCTGGATAGCGGGAGTCTGTGAAACCTATTTTCTTTCAACTGCCTTTAAGTTTGAGTCACATTTAGACATTTTAATGGTCAGTCTGGTTTAAAGGCAGAGCTGGAGCTTTAGAACAATTTGAACGGTGGGGGGCAGGAACCTATCAGCTTTGCTCATGAATATTAATTGAGTGATTTGAATTTGACTCATAGCTAGTTATTGAATGATTTATTAGCCAAGATGGTCATTTACTCATATGATATCTAGCCGTTTTGAAATAAAACAGCAGCGCTTGCACACTATGGGAGGGAAAAAATGTATGTACTTTATAATCTCTTCCAGCTCCTTGTGGTGGAAACATTACAGGCTCATCTGGATTCATTCTGTCTCCAAATTTCCCCCATCCGTACCCGCACAGCAAGGACTGCGATTGGTTCATCACGGTTCACCCTGATTACGTCATTTCCTTGGCATTTATCAGGTATGATCATCAACTTGTACTAAATGTTATTCTGAATACAGGAAGATACATTTTTGTTGTCCAAAAAAAAAGAGTGGAGTAAAGAGAAAAGTGGTGTAACCATCACCGAGAAACTATTATAGGTTTCAATAATATTTTGAATACATTTTTATTTTTTTTATTTAATATTTTAATTTTTAATTTTTATATTTAAATTTTATTTTGTTAGTTTTCATTTTAATTTTAGTACATTTGTTTTGTGTTTTTGTCATTTTTAATAGTTCTTGTTCCTTATTATAGGAATATATTTTAATATATCAATTTAAACTACATGAAAAAATAGAAATGTTGCCTTATTTCATTTCAAGTGCTTATTTCACTGCTTAAAAAGAAGAGATTCATTAGACATTTAAAAAAAAAATTCTCAAGATGGATAAACTACCTAGACATTTTGACGTTGTCCCACAAAAAATATCAAACTTTTTGAAAAGGTTAATCATAGAGGAGATGTTTTCAAGTTGTTGTCAGCATGATGTGCATTTTTAATGTTTCTCTGAATAAATTATGACATCTGAACATATAAAATGAGTGTCACGTCACTGACCCATAGCTGGTTCCATCTTAGAATGTAAATTAGAATATGGTATCAGACTGTAATCTGTGCACAAAAAAAATTAAAATAAATAAATAAATATATATATATATATATATATATTGTAAGTCATATGTTAATTTATTCATTATTACAGTATTTACAAATTTGTCTCAAATTAATGGCATATTATATGTATATATATATTAATGCATAATATGCATTACTGTTGCAGACCTGGGACAATAAACAAATCTTCACAATGACATTAATACAGCCGTCTGCTCTCAATACAGTACTTAATGTGAAGTGGAGCATTTTCTAACTACATTTTCCCAAAGCATCACTGTGCCATTTATGTGCATTTTCCACCCACATCGGATGTTTCCACTTCATAACATTTCCCCCACCTGAAACATATACAGAAAAGGCTCTTCAAAACATTTTCTGCCTCAGATGACCCAAAAGGTCTTTTAGGAAGATCACAGGCACATATTTTAATAGCTTCAGCCGGGCACACAGTGAAAACTGGATGGAGCTTGTGATGTTGTCAACAAGCATGTGATGAATTTTCATGTTTATAATAGGATGCTGCTTATTTTCTCTTTCCTGTTTTACAGCCTTCATACTTTATAAGCAATTTGCAATTCTACACTGCAAAATTAAAACTTATTTTAAAGGGGTCATATGATGCTGCAAAAAAAAACATTATTTTGTGTATTTGGTGTAATGAAATGTGTTTATGCAGTTTAAGGTTTAAAAAAACACATTATTTTCCACATACTGTACATTATTGTTTCTCCTCTATGCCCCACCTTTCTGAAACGCGTTGATTTTTACAAAGCTCATCGGTCTGAAAAAGTGAAGTGTGCTCTGATTGGCCAGCTATCCAGTGCGTTGTGATTGGCCAAATTCCTCAAGCGTGTGACAGAAATGTTACGTCCCTTACCATATTGTGATCTCTGCGGCAACCACATGTGACGACCCCAGGCTAGACTCCGCTTCTTCCACGGTGAAAGCCGAGGTGGCGATCCACAGCGCCAAGTTGAAGTATTTCCTCAGCGACCAGCACAGATCAGCTCTAGGCATGACGAAGCGGATATCGTCCTCTTTTGGAAGGCCAAACAAAGTAGTTTCGCTTTCACAACGAAGCACACAGCACCTTCACGACATGGTGGCAGCAACAACAATACTACAGCGAGAATAAAAGTTACACCTTCTTTCTTTGCGTGAACAATTGGGCTGCATTATGCAAATCTTCCCACATAGTGACGTAGACATCTGGGGGCGTGTTAGAACGAGCCGTTTTAGGTAGGCGTGGCTGACTCTTAACTTTTATAAAGAATATCTCTTTGGATTTGAGACTTTAGTCTTTGCAACTTTACAGATCTTCTTTATGCACCAAGAGCTTGTAACACTCCAAAGAGAAAGGAAAAAATTGAAATCGCATCATATGACCCCTTTTACTACGAATTCTTAAATCAAGATATATTTACTGTAGAATAACGGAATTATAAGTCTTGTTTTCTGAAAATTGTATAATAATGAAATGAGTTTATAATTAAAATGTTTAATTTTCTGATTTTTTCTTCTTGTTTTAAGCATAAATTCACTTAATTTTGACATTTTTCAGAAAACAAGACGTAATGGCTCAAGACATTTTGCTTCTCAAGTAAATGTATCTTCATTTAAGAAAGTTTAGATATTTGTACTGGAAAAAAAGAGAAAAAGAAAGAGAGAATGTACATATAATGTACATGAAAACACCATATCTACCATCAAAAAGGTTTAAATGACTGTGCTGTATTCCTCCTCCTATAGTTTTGTAAAATCTCACTTTTCGGTGCATTTTTTACCATCCCTTTTCTGTGCAATGATTTGCAATGACATGCTGACAGTATTTTCATTTGTGGTTGAACTAATCTTTCAGGAGGAGTAAATTGCGCAGAAAAAAGTCGAGATCGCCATTTGCACTGTGTTTTGATCCTATACTGTGTTTGTCTTGTCTCAGTTTTAGCATTGAGCCCAACTATGACTTCTTGTACATCTATGATGGACCTCACAGCAACAGTCATCTGATCGGCACATTTCAAGACAGCAAGTTGCCTGAAAAGGTCGAAAGCAGCTCCAACATCATGCACATTGCCTTCCGCAGCGATGGATCCGTGAGCTACACGGGCTTCCATCTGGAATACAAAGGTAATTGCTCTTTTGTTTCGGCCTGGTTTTCAAAGAGCCCGAAAGGGGCTGTTCTCGAACTGGATTTGTGCCCTTGAGCGATGCACTTATTGATTTTTATCGATTGAGGGCGAGTAAATGATGACAGAGTGTTCATACTTTGGTAAACGGCTCCTTTAGGACTGTCATGATATACAGTTTCAAGATGCTTGAGCGCAAACTGGAAAGTTTCAAAGGTTGACAGTGACTCACCGCTTGGCGTTTTTATCTCTTCAGATCTTTTCATCTTCTACAGCTTTAACATACGCCATATGTCTTGTGTTCCTCTCCCGTATAGCTAAACTGCGTGAGGCTTGTTTTGACCCGGGCAGCGTGATGAATGGCACTCGGTTGGGTGGAGACTATAAGCTGGGCTCCACTGTGACCTTCTACTGTGATCCAGGCTACCAGCTCCAGGGTTATTCCAGTCTCACCTGTGTCATGGGCGGCACCAACAGACCCGAGTGGAACAGAGCTCTGCCCAGCTGCCAAGGTATGTTCGCGTTCCCATCTGTATTGTGTGTGTGAATATAAGAAGAACATCCCCTTATGACCCAAATAACTGCATCTATTTTTGGAGCTGTGTGGGATATGTCTGTTTGCATGTTTTATCCTTCTTTTCCTTGTGAATGAAAGTCAGAATTTTACAGATCAACATGAGGGTGTTTACATGTACTCCATAACTTTTGAAAATTATCATTTGAAAAATACATTTTGCAAATCAATAAACCACATACTAGAAAACGTCCCAGGTAACGTATGTAACCATGGTTCCCCGAGGGAACGAGACGCTGCGTCGGAAAACGCTAGGGGAACGCCTTCAGCGATATCAAGCTCTGAATCATATGTGTAATCAGTCGAACGATGGGCGAGACATCCGCGGCGGGTGACGTCATGACCAGGAAGCTTTAAAAGCACGTGAGGTGCCGCCGGCACTAGCTTCTTAGGAGTGAAGCAAGCTCTAGTAGGGATGCCGGAAGTATGGCCTTGCGATGCAGCGTCTCGTTCCCTCGGGGAACCATGGTTACATACGTAACCTGGGACGTTCCCCTTCGGGAACTCGAGCTGCGTCGGAAAACGCTAGGGGAACGAGATGTCCACACCGCCAGACTTGCAAATCCCTGCCTGGTGTGAAATGGCACGGCTATGGCAAGAGAACAAAAGAGCCCGGAGTGGCTAAAGTAGGCGGGGCTCGCCATCCCGAAGGCCAACTTCTGGAGGAGTGAATCTTGACCCCCAAAGGAGAGGGGAGATCAGAGGACTCGAGGCTATGGAATAGCATCCTGATCCACCACTTAGCCTAAGTTTCTCTGGCCAGAGGCCTCGGCCTCAGCACACCGCAGAGGAAATGTGTAAGAAGAGGGTGTCTTCCCACTGAATGGCCACCGAGAGGGGCGTGGTAGGCCGCAATGGCCGCCACGAAGCCCTCTAGGGTGGAGTGGGTCAACCCTGCGGATAAACAGGCCTGCAGGAACTCCAGAACTGTACCAAACGGGCAGTTAGCTGGGTCGGGCTGGCGGTCTCCGCAGAAATACAGTTTCCTCATAGAGGGAGCTCTGGATGGAGGATGGTCTCAACAACCTCGGTCTCAACAGTCATGACGTCACCCGCCGCGGACGTCTCGCCCATCGTTCGACTGATTACACATATGATTCAGAGCTTGATATCGCTGAAGGCGTTCCCCTAGCATTTTCCGACGCAGCTCGAGTTTCCGAAGGGGAACTGCCACGTGTTAGACCGTGAATAAGATGTCAGAAAAGGGCAAAATCGAGGTGTGATGACCTTTCGCTAATAAACGAACATCATTTAAAGCATTTATGTGACCTTACACGTCAGCTGATTAGGTGTAATCACAGTAAGATGTGAACTTTCAATGAGTGTCAACAAAACCCTGACAATAACTATCAAAAATCACCTCATTATAAGAGTATGGTTTATGAGTTTAGAAGCAAATCAATAAACCCACAGAAACAAGAAGGTAAAAAGATTTCTGTATGTAGAAAGGAGCTTGATTTTGTTTATTTGATAAGTTATTTCAGGGTCAGAGCTAGTCAATACATTTTGATGAAAGAATATGGGGGGAAAAATCATTTTATGTGGAATAATGTGCACTAATGAATCACTCTTAATAACACCAGTAATGTATATTATGTTAAATCTGGACCATTTTGATTTCATGTTGATTTAAAATGTAATACGAAATGCGCACATTGAATAAACATTGAAAACACACACACACATACACATTAGGTTTGGGCCGATAGACGATGGCTGATAGACATCACAATGTTGAGCCGGCATCGTGACCCCCCCCCCCCCCCCCGCCCCCCCTCCCCCCCGCCGGTGGCGGACCCTTGAGATAGACCGGCCGTCTGAGTCTCCCCGGGAAGGGTTGGGCCACGGAAGGGCCCTTCTCCTGCGCGCTTGTACCGCGTGACCCCCCCCCCCCATTCCCCCTGCATCCCAATACCGTGTTCGAAAAGAAAATGACATGTAGGCAGAACCCCTAAAGGGAATAAATACGAGATGGGAGGTTCGTCTCATATATATTTCAATGTTTTTCCTCGCAGTAATATAATTGGGTAATTATACTACATATATATTTCGGCATCAGGCATTGAAACTGGCATCGTGCTTTTGAATGCATGATCGCTTTTAGTTTAACTTTTTTACTTTCGAGATTCGCAATTGCACATACTCTGTTTATACAATGGAGCGGCAGTACTTACCAGACATTTTACAAGATTATATGTTTCAGTGGTACTCAGGAAGCGATGCTTGTCAGCCTCCCTCATATCCGCCAAGGTCAGCCATAGGTGGCGCTCCTGGACCACCAATGTGGACATCGTCTGACCCAGGGCCCCGTGACTTTCATCGCCCTAAGCGCGAGGTCCTTGTTTCTCTCGAACACTCGCGGAGATTCGTCCTGAAGAAGGCTCGGCTCCGAAGCGAAAAGCTGATGTGCGTTTGCACGCGCTCTCCTTTTATACCCGCGCTGCAGGGCGGGGTGCGCGTGGCGAAACACGCACGCCAACTGTCATTGGCTTGTTTAGTTAACACTCGAAGGGGATTGGGCTCTCGGGCGAGATCCCAATTCGTCAGTCACTGACGTAACGTAGAACGTGACTGACTGAATGGGAACTGCAAATCATTCACCATTGTCCTCAGTCATCTCTCCTTACTCTGTTTATGTGGTAAGTGAAATTTTATGTACTATAATGTAACAGGCAACCGTTACACCGTGTCTACACCAGACGCAACAGTTGTCGTGTCACGCCGCGCCGCATCAGCTAAAGTCTGTCTACACTGGACGCAGGGTTGCCAGGTTTTCACAGCAAAACCCGCCCAATTGCAAAACTAGTCCAAAACTAGCCCAATAGCTTTTCTGGGGCGATCCCCCGGTAAAAATTGTTTTCCGGGGGGGAGGGGGGGGGGAAAATACAATTTTTTTTGGCGGGGTTCCCACTGTAAAAGTCGCATTCCAGGGGATAAATATCACGTTATTGGGGTTGCTTCAACCCGCGTCAACAGTGTAAAAGTAGCCCAATTCCACGGGAAAACCGCAGACTTGGCAACACTGACTGGACGCGACAAAGCGACCGTTGAAAATCATTTGAAATTTGTGTCAGCATGTCATAAACAGAACGCGGCAGCAGTTTACTGTTGGGGATTTGTCGTGTCACGGCGCATTCAGTGTAGACAACATCACTGATTATAATGAGTTCTATAGACTGATCTATATATATAATAAATCTCTATTATAGATCAGTGGTTCTATAGTATTTTGTCATGCTGCGCCGCTTGCGTTCGGTGTAGACACGGTGTTAGGAATCGTGTTTTCCCTTATAAGGATTCACGCTTTGGGCACACCCCCACACCCCTCCCCCCGCTCGCCCCCGCAGATGTCATCGTCCATCGCGATGTTTCACTGTAGACATCGTCCAATGCCAATTTTGTAGGCATCGCCCAACCCTAATACACACACACACACACACACACACACACACACAGACAGCATTTGCATGTAGAACTAAATTGAGGTAACATGCTTAAATTTCAAGGTAGATGTATTCATTGGGTTTGTTAATCATTTACAAGGTTTCACAGGTAATATTAAATAGTTTAAGGGTTTTCTTGTTATATCTCCTGATTTTTAGAATGATTTTGACAATTGATTGGATCCAGTGGTTTTAATTTAATTATATTTTAGCTACAAAATTTTATTTTAATGTAATTTTACGTCCATCGGTCCATCGCGATGTTTCACTGTAGACATCGTCCAATGCCAATTTTGTAGGCATCGCCCAACCCTAATACACACACACACACACACACACACACACACACACAGACAGCATTTGCATGTAGAACTAAATTGAGGTAACATGCTTAAATTTCAAGGTAGATGTATTCATTGGGTTTGTTAATCATTTACAAGGTTTCACAGGTAATATTAAATAGTTTAAGGGTTTTCTTGTTATATCTCCTGATTTTTAGAATGATTTTGACAATTGATTGGATCCAGTGGTTTTAATTTAATTATATTTTAGCTACAAAATTTTATTTTAATGTAATTTTAACTATAAAACTAATAAAAAGTGTTTTCAATAATTGAAATAAGGCTGAAATAAATGATAAATATTAAAAGAAAAAAAGAAAAAATATAAATGAAAAAGAAATCTTGCCTTAGCAACTAATTGAAATAAGTTGAAGTACTAAAATTGCTCAAATTAAAAGTTATATAGAAATATACAAAAAGAAAATTAATAAAAATGAAAAAAATCACATACAATTAAAAACTGAAACTATACAAATAAAAGCAAATTCAAAACAACAAATCCTATAATAATACATTAATAATACTAAAATAACACTGATTGGATTGTGAAAAATTGGCATTACATACTATATACTGAAGTCAAGTGACTGGATGGGAGGAAGAGTCAAAATCAAGGCATGTCATGTAGATTTTATCTTAAATTTATGACATTTTTTAGATGAGATATTACTATTTAAGATGTTTGCATGATAATGCACATTGTCAGATTATTATTTGTGAGTAAGGTCTTTCAGACCAGTATTTTTTTCTCTGTGCAAACAGAAATGTAGTTTACAGAGAGGTCTTTGTATCCTTGTATTTTATAGAGGACACAAGTGGATGGTAGAGAAATGAATGACAAAGAAATGGCACAGAAGTTTTCACATGTTTGTGCATCGGACACAGCCTCTAGTTGATACTGCACAGATCTGGACCAAAGGCTGGTCTATTGATTTCAGAGGGGTTTTTTTCTGCATGCATGCATGCATGGGTGACCTTGCTAACCCTCTTTGAATGAGATTGTGTTGGAAATGCATCATGTGGAATGAGCCGCCCGTCCGCTGGAACAAAAGTGATGTTTTTTTGTTACACTGCAGCGGGTAACAACTCACAATGATTTAGTAATGGCTCATTGTTCTGCGCTATTTTGCAAATGATCTTCATAGAGCTGCTGA